TCCTTGCTGCTTGACACAGTCGCTGCAGGGAAGAAACATCTGCACAGCATATGTTTCAAGGGACCTGGCGTATATGGCATACTGTTCTTAATATGTTTGCTCCTCTTCTTAGCGCTATGTGTTTTAACCAAGGTTACCTCTCCGAGAAAGATTGTTTCCCCAGGTGGGGATTTTTCCCTGGAGTTAGGAATTAACAGGACTAAGGAAGGGAATCAGTAAAACCCCTTAACTAAGTGCCAGGCGGGTAGTTAATCACTTTAACTACAAATAATCACCCTTAAGCTACATAATCTTTACTTAGGATAATCTCCTTCAGTTACTTCCTGGTAGCTTAACAGAACAATAGAGTAGTGACCTTGGAATGGAGATAACAAACGCCCTAACCTTTGGAATAGAATGGACAGGATTAAAATCAAATGGTATAAATACAGATATAACAGGAGAATAAAGAGAGAACCTGGCTATGCTGATCAACTGAACCTGATCGCTGTCTCCGTGTCATTCCTTCTTCGCCGACTCTGTCCACACCTTTGGGAACCCCTGGACCTGCTGGGGCTGGACCCCAACACATGCCCTTGACTGGAATCAAACCTGGGGCCCTTCAGTCTGCAGGCCAATGCTCTATCCACTGAGTCAAATCAGTCAGGGCCAGAATTTTTTATAAATAAAGTCATACAGCAGGAAGCCTTTGGAGCCTGGCATCTTTCACTCAGCATAATACATTTGAGATCATCGATGTCGTTGCGTGTTATCAGTGGTTTATTCTAATATATGTTTGTTTATCCACTTCCCGGTTAAGACATATCAGTGCATGCACACCTTTATTTATTAAGCTGGTAAGCACCTTGTGGATAAAGATGCTTCCTACATCTCCTTTTAACAATACCCGGTCACTTTATTGATTTAAAAATTAGAAGAGTCAATCTGTAAGGCTTCTTCTGGCTTCAAACTCTATAACCCTGGAAACTACTGAAGGCACAACTCAGTTTGTAAGAGCATTAATTGTTCAATAGGTGAGGAAGAAACGTGTTCTTCTTTCAGACTAATTAAGTCTAATTTAGGATGCTTGGGAACTGAAAAATAAAACAAGAAAAAATGTTTTACAGGTTTATATGACTAAGAAAAGGTGGGCGAAGCAAACACTGTGCTACTTTGGCTTATCTCAGACCACACAGGCTGAATGCTTTGGCACCCACGTTTTTCACTTAAACACGTCAGAAATTAAAAGGATGTTTGCCTTTCTTAAAGCTGTAATTACTGCACAATACGCATAATTAACCAAAGGACAGAAATCTGGGCTGTGTTTGGAGGCAGTGGCGGCAATTGCTCAGGAGATACCCGGGTTGTAAAGGGGCACCTGCTTCCGTGAGTTTTTCTATTAAACGGGATAATTCCGAATCAGGCTGAGCTCTGCACTGCCCCGCCGATGTCAGAAATGTTTCTTAATGTACAATTATCCAGGCGCCACCACCACTTTCTGAATTCTCTACAAAGAGCTGAATAACGTAATAGCAAAATTAGGTTTCCATAGATAATTGGGCCTTCCCTAAGCAAAATAAGTCTTTTTAAAAAATGAGAATTTTATTGTGACGGAATGCAACATTGCTGTGTAAAAGTAATTCACTTGGTGGAAACAGCTGTAAAAAGACAATGTGGGAGCCTTTTCCTATTTTAGTACAAATAAACTGGACTGCAAAGAACACCACTAATCCATGAGCGATGAAGAAACGAACCCTCATGAAAGGTTCCCCCGCAATAAGTTTGGGGACGCGTATACGGCCGGTGGCGATCCCCATAGTCCGAGCGACACCTCGGTCCGGCCCCGCTCGGAACCTCAGGCGTTCCCAGCAGCGGGCGGTCTGGCCACAAAGCGCCCTTCGGGCCCGGGGCGAACGGTACTTACCGCGAGGACTGGGCGCGGCCCAAGGCGGGGAAGGGAGACTGCGGATGGCGGACGGACCAGGGGGAAGAACGGGTAGGAAAGGGGGCGAGAGCCGAACCCGACCGGGACCTCCGGCCCCCAACTTCCACACCAGCTGGGGGACACCAGCAGTCAATGCGCATCTTGTCCAGACACTTCCGGCACCTCTAGGAATCCGGGAGGACTGAAAGCTCTATGGTCGGCGCCCCGGGCTCCTCCCGCGCCTGCGCGTCGCAGGGTCTCCGGGCCGCGGAGCCGAGAGGCCGCACCTGGAGGGAAGGTACCCTTGGCGCTGATCGCGGTGCCGTTTAGATGCCCCTGTAGTTGGGTATTCTCTTCAAATACATATCTAGTCTTTGAGGAATTCCTGTTAATCGTGGCAGGGTCACCTTAGTTCAAATTATCCTATATAATAAAAGCCTAATATACTAAGTGTCTGGTCATTTGTTCAACCAATCAAAGTGTAAAATGCTAAAGATATGCTAAGGCCACTCAATCACTTGCTAGGACGTGCACTGACCACCAGCCCACCCGGATTGAGCAAGACGGGTCGGACACACCCTGGAGCCCTCCAGTGGTCCCTCCCCGGACCCAATCATGCACTAGTGGGGTCCCTCGGCCTGGCCTGCACCCTCTCGCAACCCGGGTCCCCTCAGGTGATGTTGGAGAGCTAGTTTCAACCTGATTCAACAGGCCAGGCCGAGGTACCGCACTGGTACACGAATTCGTGCACCCGGCCTCTAGTTAGATTATATTTACTTTAATCATCATTTTCCTTTCATTAGAATACACCCATTTTTTTTAAGGCTGAAAAGGTAACATTATTACTAAACTGTTTTCTTCTGGAGTGTTTCCATTTTATTTCCTGCTGCTATTGCAGCCTCCTCAGGTGTCTCTTTTGCTACTTCCTTGAACTCAGAATCACACAATATCAAAGCCAGAAGGTACCTTACCTGTGTTTGATTGAGACAGCAATGCCTTGACAACTTTTTGCAGCAATAAAAATGGTCTACACCTGTGTTGTGCAATACAGTAGCTGCTCGCCACATGTGACTAAGAGCACGGACATGTGGTCATGTCACCACAAACTGAACTTCCCATCCTATGTGTGTTTAGATGTAAATGGCCACTTGTGGATACTGGCTACATTGGACCAACCTCTGCCTCAGTTTACAGCAGCAATTTTCAACCTTTTCCATCTCATGGCACACATAAACTAAGTACTAAAACTCTGTGGCACACCAATATTTCTATATTTTTGCTGATCTGACAATAAAAAGGGATATAACATTGGTTAATTCATACTGGATGGCTATTGTGTTGGCTGCTGTCATTTTTTTATTTAACAATCAAGGGAAAACAGGTCAATGCCCCTGACTATATAGTCAGGTACTGCATGTTTTAAAAATTCCTGCAGCACACTGGTTGAAAATTGCTGGTTTACAGTGAATGGGGACTCAGAAGAGAAGTGACTTATCTGAAGTTAAGGATCCCTCGCCGAAACCGGTTTGGCTCAGTGGATAGAGCGTCGGCCTGCGGACTGAAAGGTCCCAGGTTCGATTCCGGTCAGGGGCATGTACCTTGGTTGCGGGCACATCTCCAGTAGGAGGTGTGCAGGAGGCAGCTGATCGATGTTTCTCTCTCATCGATGTTTCTGACTCTCTATCCCTCTCCCTTCCTCTCTGTGAAAAATCAATAAAGTATATTAAAAAAAAAAAAAAAAAAAAAAAAAAAAGGATCCCTGTTACACTCATTATCCCCCTGTACTGGCACCTCCTACTCCTAACTCTGCTTTCCTTCCCATTTGGTCTTCTTTAGTCTGCTGGCTTTTCAGTTGCCTCCTTTCTATCAGTGCTAAAGAAAAATTTTGAACAAAATGAATATAACCCCTAGTTGAAGATAAAAAAGCATTAAATATTTAGGCCAGTATATCAAAAATGATGTGAAAAAAATAGTATTGTCTTAATGTTTTCGCCTGGCTGGCATGGCTGGGTGGTTGAGCATCAGCCTATGAACCAGAAGGTCCCAATTTGATTACTGGACATGGCACATGTCTGGGTTGTGGGCTCAATCCCCAGTTGGGGGAGGGGAGGGTGGGGCGTTGTGCAGGAGGCAGCCGATCCATGATTATGTGTCATCATGATGTTTCTATCTCTCTCTCCCTCTCCCTTCCTCTCTAATATCAATTAAAATATATTTTAAAAAGTTTTCATTACCTTGGCTGGTTTTTCTCAGTGGCTAGTGTTGACGGTTGGATTCCAGGTCAAAGGCTCATACCTTGGTTGCAGGTTCCCCAGCCCACAGAGAGGCATGTGCGGGAGGCACCAATTGACATGTCTCTCACGTCCATGTTTCTCTCTTTCTTTCCCCCTCCTGCTTCCCTTCCACTCTCTCTAGAAATCAATACAAAAAATATCCTCTGGTGAGGATTTAAAAAAAAAAAAAGATAGTTTTCATTGACTTTAGAGAGGAAGAGGGAGAGAGAGAAACATTGCTGCCTTTCATGCACCCAGACCAGGGATCAAATCTGTGACCTTTCAATACAAGACGCCCAACCAACCAAGTCACAACAGCCAGGGCTTAGTTCTTAATTTCAGAAGCAATTTTCATCTATTTCAACTTAATACATATCTGGAGGGCCTGTCCCACCATCGGCAATTCACAGAAGGTAAATGAAGGCAGAGAACTGGAATGCCTTTGCCTAAAGTCATACACTGAATGGTTAATAAAAAAAAGGTTGAGAGTTGGAATTCACCATCTTTCAACGAGGAAACAGTTATCTTGGACTAGAATAAGCACTGCTGTTTATGGTCAAGGCTTTCTGAAGTAACTTTAAAAAAGAAAACACTTTAATTTTTGTTTTTTTAGAGAGAAGAAGGGAGAGTGAGAAAGGGAGGGAAATATTGATGTGAAAGTGAAACATTAATCAGCTACCGCTTGCATAGCCCCCTACTAGGGATCAAGCCTGCAACCTGGGCATTTGCCCTGATGGGGAATTAAACAAGCAACCTTTTGGTGCATGGGTCAACGCCCAACGGAGCCACACTAGCCAGGGCTCTGAAGTAAGAAACTGAACTACTTTAGAAATAAAAGCAAATTTTATTCAGGTTCTGTGATACCAGAGAAATTTTTGATGATGGAAGCTTTGCCTACATTCAGGGTACTTATAAGGTCCCTAATTAGGTCTGGACAGCTAAGGAACTGTTGTTACTGACCCCTTATTAGTAGAGCTCTTTTGCTGCATGAACTCTTTGATGTCGAATAAGGGCTGAACTTACCCGAAAAGGCCTCCCACACTCATAGCATTCATAGGGTTTTTCACCTGTGTGGATTCTCTGATGCTGAATAAGACCTGAGCGTCCACTAAAATCTTTTCCACATTCTTCACATTTATAGGGTTTCACTCCAGTATGCACTCTGTGATGTCCGATGAGATGTGAGCGTTGATTGAAGGCTTTTCCACATTCGTTACATTTATAGGGTTTTTCTCCAGTGTGAGTTCTCCTGTGCTTGCTAAGGGCTGAGTTGTAACTAAAACTTTTCCCACAGTCATCACACTTACAGGGTCTTCTTTCGCTTGGCCGCCTCTCTAACCTGCCCTCACTTTCAGTTGCATTTTTGGATTCGGGATGTTGAGGAAGGACTTTGTTCAGTCTGTTATTTGCCTTCCTAAGGAATTCCATGTCCTTTGCAATATCTTCCTTTTGGAACAACTCTTCAGTCTCAGTTCTGGTTTTATCACCTATAACAAACAGGGCCTATTTTAGGTTTGAGAAGCAAAAGCCTATGGAAGACAGAACATGCAAAATGTTACAAATGTGTTATGAGAAAATGGAAAGCCACACGCAATGTACAAATTAGGTCTTTAGCACCATCCAAACACATGCTGACAGGGAAGACAGTGAGAGGCCTGGGAGGAAGACAGCAGCAAGACATGACGCCTGGGAACAGATTAGGAAGAGATCAAGGGGTTACCGGGCAAACCTGTACAAAGGCAGAGTGGTAAATGGTGAATGTAAATGGGGACTATAGACATTCTGAGGATAATTAATAGGGATCTAAGAGGAATGTGTTGAGTAGAAACCACCAAAAGGGAAGGAAAAGGCAGGAGGGGACAGTGGGTGGCCTGGTTCATGTGCTGGGTTGAATCTATTAGTCCTTATCTTGTGTCCTGTTAGGAAAACCAACTGTGTCTGGTGGACTCTTCCCTGGGTTTCAGTGAAACCCCCTTTCTGCTTCTCTTACGTCTTCTATAGTCCTTCACAGAATCCTCCTCCTCCACCCAAACTGGGTTTCTTTTGCTTTAATTAAAAAATTACGTGTGTGTGTGTGTGTGTGTGTGTGTGTATTTTATTGATTTCAGAGAGGAAGACAGAGAGAGAGAGAGAGATAGAAACATCAAAGATGAGAGAGAATAAATGAACGACTATCTCTTGCACACCCCTTATTGGGGGTCAAGCCCATAACCTGGCATGTGCCCTGACTGGGAATCGAACTGTGACCTCCTGGTTCCTAGGTCAACACTCAAACACTGAGCCACACCGGCCAGTCATGGGGTTCTCTTTATATGTTTTTCCTGGTCAATCCTGCCTACACCCATGTCTTCTTGTCATCTACCCAAGATGACTCCCACATCTCCACCTCCTCCCACACCTTCCTCCCAGATACAGAACATTTTAAACTGCACTGCCTGCTGGGTTTTATCCACTTGGATGCTTCACAAGCAAAGAAAATTCACGTATAAAAACTGAACTCACACCAGCTCCTCTTCACATAGATACAGGCAGACATCAGAGATATTGACTTTAGATTCCATACTACCACCATAAAGTCATGATCGCAATAAAGCAAGTTGTAACCTTTTTGATGGTGGGGGGTTGTGCCTTCCATTCACGGAAAACACATCTGTGAAACGCAATAAAGCTAAGCGCAATAAACAAGGTCTGCCTATACATCCCCTTCTGATTTTCCTGTCACTGACAACATTATCTGATACCCTATCCCCACAACCAATCAGATCTGTTAATTCTACAGTAAGTAAATATCTCTTGATTTTCTCCTTTTCTCTCTCCAGCCTTATTCCTGCTCTAGTTGACCATCCTCTATATTTGAGAGTGGTCTCCCCAACCCCCTGATATAAACATCGTTTCTCTCTGCTATTGCTGTTATTTCACTTACAGATTTTATAAAATACGTCATCTATGATTTCATTATCTAGAAATAAGCTTTGTCTACATTTACAGGTAATCCTTCCAATCTTTTTCTATGTAATTTTTAAAAAATGAAATCATGGACAGTGATTTCTGTGTCACCCACTTCTCTACTTACAATTCTCTGAGAGCCCCCCAGCTGATGGGATGAAGTTCGGTTTCCCTAGTATGGTGTTCAGGAATCTTCACCACTGGCCTTGATGTTCCTCACACAAAATTCTCCGTCACAATCAGACTCAGAGCAGCTGCTCTTAGCATGTGTGATGCTATTATGCTTCTTCCCCCAACTGCTCTCTCAGCCTAGAATGTTCCCCATCTCAGCTCATGCAAACTGGTGCCTCGCAGGCCTGCCATGGAGAGAGCTTCCGGAAGAATTCAAGTGTCTTAACTTTTATTCCTTACCTCATGGTACCTGGCATAGAGCTGATGCTCAACAAATATTCAATGACAGAGGAGTGAAGAGAACAGGGGTCTCAATCTCACCTCTAAAGCCCACCAATAACCAACACTCCACTTCAAAGCACCAACAGACTCCTTTAAATTACATTTAGGTGAATTTTGTGTCTTCCAGATACCAAGCAGAAATATCTTACTTAAAATAACTTCTCAGATTTGACAAACCACCTGGCAGGAACCCTAGACAATGAGAGAACCACACTTGTGAAATTTAAAGTAGTGAGGAAAGTTTGGAGAAAGTAGGTAAAACTTGTGTGTTTTTCAGTGTAACCTGAGGATACACTACACACCTGCTTTTAATTAGTGCTATGATCAGCAGGATGGGGAGCAAACCACAACCACAGTCCTGCCAACCTTACTTAGAGACACAAACAAAAAGCCTGCTGTGATGACTTTTGCTCTCTTCCCCATCCTTCTAGCATGGGGGTGTATTACAGATTAAATTGTCCTGACCCAATTCATATGCCCCAATTCAATCCACTTGGATTGTATTTAGAAAAAGGGCCTTTAAACAGGCAATTAAGGATAAATGAGGTCATAAGGAAGGGGCCCTGACCCAACAGGTCTAAGAAGAGGGAGGACACAGGAGAGGCTTCACCCCAAAACAGCTCTGGTGGCACCTTGGTCGTGGACCTTCCAGCTTCTAGAACTGTGAGAAAACACATTTCCGTTGCCTAAGCTCCCAGTCTGTGGAATTCCATTCTGGCAGCCCTAGCAGACTAATACAGGGTGTCATACAAAATCCCCTGCTCAAAATAGAAATTTCAGGTAGTTTAAAACTTGAATCATTAGATATCAGATAAAAGTATAAGGTATTAGGCTGAATATTTAAGTCTCATCCTCAATCTGTTAGGGCAAATAACAGCTTTTAAGTCTAATGAAAAGATAAAGTATAATTCTTCCCAGGATAGGGCAAGGGTGGGAAGGTGGATATAATCTCCCACAGAAGGAACAGCTGGAAAGGAGGTGACAGTGAGAAAACGCCTCTAACTAAGGAGGCACCTCCTCCCTCACACAGAAAACTTGCTCCTTACCATTCCTTTGGGGCTCCTGCTGGATCTTCTCAGGGTAGAGCTGGACAGCCAGGGACTCATGTGGCTGTCCCAAGGGGGCCAACTTGTCCAGAAGTGTGTCCTGTATTTCTGACTTGGCCAGGACCTAGGAACAATGAAGCATGGTTGAACTTGTAAGGTAAACTTTGTGAAAGAACTGAAAGAACTTCAAAGAGATCAAAAGTAGCATCTGCCAAAGACTACGGGTATAGAAAAAGGGACAAATTCTTGTTAAGCTGCAAATGGGAATAATGACTAAAAAATAAGAGAACTCTCGGGGCTAATCTCTACTGTCTGGACACAGGGTGACAGTCAGTGTGCCTTCTCAGTGACCTGCTGAAGCCCAGGGCTTTCAGTCCTGCAACATGGAAGGCACCTTAAAAGCCATCGAGTCCAACTCCCACCCAATGGGGTGTTTCTCCTATCACTTGTCCGGTGTCACAGCCACGAGCAAAATGTGTTTACAGAACACTTGAAACGGGGCTAGTAAGAACTGAAATCTGCAAAGTGTATAATAAACACCAAATTTTGAACACAATACAAAAAACAGTTCACTATTATCTTGACTACATATTCTGTGATGAATAAAATGTACCACTCAGTTTCACTTTTTGCTTGAATGCGGCTCACATTATATTTGTTTGATGACGCTGTTCTGTCATGCCCCTGCTATCTACTAACCCCAAGTTGAGTACTCCAATGAAAAGGTGGTATTTTTTTCATTACAAGGTAGCCAAGCCTACATGTGGCTACGAACGTTAGAAAATTGTTTTCTTCTGATGCGCACGTGCCTTCCTGTAGCTTCTCACTGACCCCAGCCTTCCACACCCACACAGATTCAGTCTGGTGTCTCTGACTGCGCCCTCCCCAAGTCTGTTCTTCCCTAGAATCACACATCAAACAACCCGGGGTGTTCTTTCCAATGCCCTTTGCTTGGCTGCTCTGACCTCTGCCGGCCGCTCCCTCGCCACCGGCTCTGGAGGCTCATCGAGCTCCCTCTCCAGATCCTCCAGCACAGCCACCGCCTGCGCCCCGGTCTCGGGATGGTGCCCCTGCACCCACACCCGCAGGTCCCCGGGCAGGATGCTCAGGAACTGCTCCAGCACCAGCAGGTCCAACATCTGCTCCTTCGTGTGGTGCTCCGGCCGCAGCCACAGCCGGCAGAGCTCGCGGAGCCGGGTCAGGGCTTCCCGGGGCCCCGGCGCGTCCTGGTAGCTGAGCTTCCGGAAGAGGCGCCGGTAGCGCTCCCGCCCGCGCAGCGTGGGCATCGGTGCGGCGCGGCCCCAGCCCCAGCCCCAGCCGCGCGCCTCCGCCGCCTCGAGCGCAGGTCCCGGCTGTCCCTCGGGGGCCGGGGCTGTGGCCATTCCGGGCCGATCTTCAGATTCGCCCTCTATTTGGAGCTGACTCAGGAGAACCTTGGAGTCTTGTCTCGGAAAAGGAGTTGTTGCCACAGAAATAACGAGCTGCTGGGAACACAAATGCACTGACGGAGGCAGAGGCCTCGCAGGGGCTGACGCGGCTCCGGGACTAACTCAGAGCGAAGCCCCCACCCGGTCCCGTCGGGCGATTCTCCCGATGCTCCGGGGGGAGGCGTGCGGGGTCGCGGCCGGGAGCGCAGTCGGCGCTGCGCGGGGCGGGAGCAGCGGTGAGCCCGACGCCAGGCCCCGCAGCGGGGCGGTCGCGCAGGCCCCAGGCCGCGGGGAGAGGGGCGGGGTGGCCGCTGGCGGCTGCGCCGGCCCCTCGTCCCCACCCACGAGCGGGACTCGCCACCTCCCGCACCGCTCGCTCGGGGCAGAGCCGGGCCGACAGAGCGTCCTCCGGCGGCGGAAGCAAAGGCGGTTAACGATCACCCGGCGCTCCCGGCCGCTCTAGAAAGCCCGTCTCGGTGGCAGCCCCGCCCGTGGAGGACCCGGCTCGGTCCTTTGGCGGATGGGAGGGAGCTCGGGGCCAGTGAGCACAGCTTTGAAGAAAGCTTTTCCTCCCTCAAGATTTTTCCAGCTTAATTATTTAAAAAGCAATATAAATAAGGAATGCATTCACATGGCTCAATATGTAAAATAGAATTTAAAAGAATTAGTGTCCTCCAGCATGTTTTCACTCGTGTCTTTCATAACATGTACCACCCTCTTTCTTCTACACAAATGGCAGCATTTCTATACCTTTTTGCCTCCTACCGATTGACTGGGGAGATTACTTCCTAGGTCTTGCTCTTTAAAAAACACAAACTACTACATACTATTCAATTGCCACAAGTTATTGATAATTACTCCATTAATGTTCATGCAGGTTGTTCCTTTTTTTTCATTCAGATGCAGCTCCAGTAAATTACTGCGAACATGTTTCTCATGTGTAAGGGCAGACCCATTGCATACATTCCTAGAAATAGATTTACAGAGCAGAGTACCAGCATCTACACTTTTGGTACCAACTTACCAATCGTAGAACACACTACGAGGCTACCTATACACTTGTCAAAACGTTATAAATATTTTGATCTTTGCCAATCTGATGGGTTAAGTAATATTTAGGTGTTTTCCCCTCCCTCTTAACCTTCCTTACACAACTATTGATTAATCACCTACCAGGCAAGGCACTGTTCTGGAAGCTGGAACTATAGGTTAAAGCAAAACAATGCCCTGCCTTCATGGAATTTATGTGTGTGTGTGTGTGTGTGTGTGTGTGTGTGTGTGTGTATGTAATACACAGATGGGGAGGCAGGCAATAAAAAGAAAAATATAGTTTATTAGATGGTGGATGTCAGCACTAAGGAGAAAATAAAGGAAATACGGAGTTTACAATTTTCACAGGATGGACAATGAGGACCTCACTAGCACTGACACTTGAGCTAAGACTGAGGGCCATGAGGCATTTGGGGTGAAGATGTTTCAGGAAGAAAAGCAGCAAGTGCAAAGACCTGGAGTGGAGTGTCTGAAATATTGTAGGAACATGAAGGATGTGTGTGTCTGGAGCTGCAGTACCACAGGGTGCTGGGAGTACAAAGAGGGAGAGATATGAGGGCTGTGGGTGAGTGCAAAGGTAATTGTTTTTTACTCCAAGATGGGAAGCCATTTGGAATTTCAAAGCAGAGGAGAACATGATCAGACCTAGGTACTGAAAGGTTTTTCTGGTTGCTGTGTTAAAAATAAACTTGTAGGGGAGAGATCAACCAAAGGACTTATATGCAAGCATATAGGCCTAACCAATGGACACAGACAACAGGGGGGTGAGGGCATGAGTGTGTGTGTGGGGGGGGAGAGTTGGGGGGTAACATGGGGTAAGGACACATACATAACTTAATAAAAAAAACTTAAAAATAAATAAACTTGTGACAGCAAAAGTGGGGAGACAGGCTAGGAAGCTCTTGCTACCTTGCAGTGGGGAGGACCTTTCTAAGCATGACATAAAAGCCTAAAAACATAACTGAAAAGCAATAAAGGAAAAGATAAATAGAACTGGTAACTGAAACATTTAGGATTTTTGAATGAAGAGAATAAAAGTTAGAATATAGTCTATTGATGTTCTTTGTGAACGGTGACGCTGAGATGAGCTTGGCGTGCAGGATTGAGTTTAGAGAAGCAGAGGGGTACCACTCGCTCAGGCGAATAGCAAAGCCCCCAAAGCTCTCATGGTCTTTATTTGGGGAGTACAGCAAATAACAATGGAGTACAGCAAGTGACAATGATTAACAAGCATGCTGATGAGATCATCTGAGCTAAGTTGTACATTACACTATTCATTTCCTCTGTTATACAAAGACTCTTTCCACCTGCAGCAGTGCACCCTCCCTTGAACTTTCCATGCCCTCATGGACTATTTATCACCTCAAGGAAAGTTATGCCTCTAAACAATAAGTCTTGTTTGCAAGACTTTGTTCTGACGTGGCCTGCTTGCAGGCTCCTGTCTTTTCTTGGCAGAACGTCCTCTTCTAGTTAACTTCTCATTCCACTTGTCCAGCTATAAAGTCAGACCAAAATATGTCACATCTAAACAACACAGGGCTAATTTTCCTAATATGCAAAGACCTCTTACAAAAAAGTAAGAAAAATATAAACAAGCCAATAGAAAAATTGGCTAAGGATTTAAATAGGCATTTATAGAATACAAATATTAACAGACAAAAATGTGCACAGTATTTTTATAAGAAAATCTGGAAAGTCAGATTCTATGTGAAATATGCAGAGTCTTAAAGAGTTGCTATTATTTTAAATTACAAAAAACTAACAAACAAAAACTATGTGGGGCTTGTCTGCCACCTCTGGTTAAAGATGTGAAAGGTCCCTGTGGATCAGCAGGTTGATCGATCCATCCAGCCTTGACCCATTCTGGCCCTGCAAAGCATAATCCATTCCAGTATAACAAAATAGTTTTTGTCTTTCACCATGTTTTTAGTTTAAATAATTGATAGATTAATGTATTTGATCAAGTTAACCAAATATTGAGGTGTTGGCGTTTTTTTTTCCAAAGTAGTTCAGAAAATAGGGAGGAGAGAAGGGGAAGAGGAATATAAACACTAAGATTTCCTGAGCAACTGACTTCTGAGAAGAGTTTGACAACACGAATGGGCCCATCCAGCGTCCCAGCTCAGCAGGTGATGTGTTCAGTGGGCAAAGCATCCCATGCTGCTTGGAAGCTGTGTTCACGTGACTCTGGAATAAGTGGCCGGGAGTGGAGAGCTCAGCACTGTTAGGGCAACACCATCGCCAGCGTGCATCTTGGTGTCCTCGGAACGAGTGCCAGGAGTAGCTCCGCACTCTTGTGTCACCAGGGCTCCTCTCCCATGTGGATTCTTCTGGGTCCCAGACGTGAGCTGTAACTGAGGTCTTCCCACCCTCCTCACACTCATAGGGCCTGAGCTCAGGCTGAAGCATTTCCCCCAGTCAATGCTCTGGTGTGCCTTGTTTCCTGTGCAGGTCCTCTGGTGTCGGATGTGACTGAGCTGTCATGAAAAGCTTTGCCACACTCACCATTCTGGAAAGGCATTTCACCAGTGCAGGTCCATGGATGCTGAACAAGGTGTGAATTGTGATAAAGGCTTTCTGCACTCCTCACACTGATAGTTTTAACCTATAAAACAGGCTATGTATTCTCTGACGGTCAATACGTTGTGAGCTTCTGCATTAAAATTGCCACAGACATTACATGAACAGTGTCTCTCTCCAGTGTGAATTCTCTTTTGTCTAATGAGTTCTGAGTGAATCTTTTCTCATGTTCATCACACTTGCACCTTCTCTCACTTGAAGTGCTTCTCTGATGTCTTTCTGTCCATCCTTCCGGTTCTTGGGTGTCTCCACATCCAGGACCCTCTCCGTTGGTCGGGCCAGATAGTTTTTCTTGGGATTCCATATCTACAGTAAGATCTTGCTTTTAAATCAATTCTCCTTTCTTATTTCTGATCCTATCATCTGAAATAAAAAGTATAGCATTCTAATGTAACTGAAATATACAGGAACATTATTATACTACTAGTAGCCTGGTGCACAAAAATCTGTGCACTCGGGGGTGAGGGTGAGGGGTGGGGCCAGACCCCTCAGCCCAACCTGCACCCTCTGTCATGTTCCAGGACCCCGGCCACTCCTGGCCTAGGCACAGGCCTACAGGCTTGGGGCGGCCTGGCTCCCGAGGCCCCATTTTATCAAGAGAACAAAGTCGGCGTTAGTTCCAGCCCTCACAGAACCTAGTACACTGCATCTGTGCATACAACTGCCTCCTTCATGTGCCTGCTTCGCCCTACTGAAGTACTAACATCTTGAGGACATAGCTCTGTCTTATCCTGCTTCAACTTCAGTGCCTGGCCTGGTGCCAGGGACCTGAGAGGGTTTGCGAGTGAGTGAATAATGAGTGAGTGAATGAGTGAATGAATGAGCGAGTAAGTGAATGAGCAAGTAAGTGAATGAGCAAGCAGCTACTCGCCGGGATAGTTTGCACTTTGCTCTGGGCTGCCTGACGCAAACCCCGGGAAGTTCCCACCCTGCCCCCAGCGGCCCCACTCCCCTCTCCCGGCTGCATAGTTCGTGCAGGGCAAAGGCTGCCCGGGTGTGCGTTTTGGCAGATCGGTGCATTAGCACCTGTCAGCCGGGAGGGCCGTTTGTGGGCGTGGCCAGTGGCAGATCAGTGCATTAGCACCTGTCAGCTGGGGATCCCCAAGGGAGGGCTGTTTGTGGGCGTGGCCGGTGGCCGATTGCTGCGGTCCTGCCACCAGCCCTGGGTCTGTTCCCATACGGGCTGCCTGCCGCCAGGGTCGCAATAGCAGGCCCGGATGGCAGTGGGGCAGGCGGGATGGCGCTGTCCTGCCCTGCCTGCAGTATGCAAATTAGCCGCCATCTTTGTTGGCAGTTAATTTGCATATTGCCCTGATTAGCCAATGGGAAGCATATGAGAGGTACGGTTAATTACCATGTTTGTTTATTATTAGATAGGACTATGTTATATTATATTACATTACATTATAGTATAACTAGAGGCCCATGCATGGGTAGGGTCCCTAGGCCTGACCAGTGATCAGGGCCAATCAGGTTCCCCTGCCTCCCCACCTGCCTGCCTACTCCTTCCCTAGCTCCCTCAGCACCACGCTGCTGCAGCTGGTCGCCTGCCATGTTCCGTGCCACCCCCTGGAGCTGAGTGTACGTCACAAGCAGCAATCCAACTCCGATTCTCCCGATCGAGCTCCCAAGGGGACACTTTGCATATTAGCCTTTTATACATATAGGTTATATATAGATATAGATATAGATATAGATATAGATATAGATATAGATATAGATATGGATACACATACTAGAAATACATGGCTTACATATTCCAACAAAATGGTTTGACAGTGTTTGAAGAGAAAATTAGAAGATGGCAAATGACAGGACTGGCTGGTGTGATTCCAGAGAACGGTGCATAAAAGTCAGGAACAAGAGTGACCTGAAGCGCTGACCAGTTTTGCTCAGTGGATAGAGCGTTGGCCTGTGGACTGAAGGGTCCCAGGTTCAATTCCCATCAAGGGCATGTACCTTGGTTGCGTGCCGGGAGCCGGTCCATGCTTGCTGTTTCAAGGGACCTGGCATATATGGCATACTGTTCTTAATATGTTTGCTCACCTTCTTGGCACTATGTGTTTTAACCAAGGTCTCTGAGAAAGGTTGTTTCCCCAGGTAGGGATTTTCCCCTGAAGTTAGGGAGGGAATAAAACCTCTTAACTAAGTGCCAGGTGGGTAATTAATCACTTTAACTACGAACAATCATGCTTAAGCTACATAATCTTTACTCCCTGGAATGGAGATAAGAAACGCCCTAACCTTTGAAATAGAGATTGATAGGATTGGAATCAACTGGTATAAATACAGATGTAAGAAGACAGAACGAGGAGAGACGGAACCTAGGCACAGAACCTACACAGAACGTTCTCTAGAGACAGAAGAACTTCGCTGGAGAGAACATGGCAAAAGTTCCTGGACAGAAACTGGCCTCAGAACCTAGCGAGAGAACATGGCAAAAGATCCTGGACTGAACCTGACTACAGAAATTGGCAAGAGAACCTGACTAGAACCTGGTGACTGAACCTGGCTGGAGAACCTGGACAGAACCTGGCTGGAGAACCTAGCAAGAGAACATGGACTCAGAACTTAGCTGGAGAACCTGGAGAACCTGGCTGGAGAACCTAGCAAGAGAATATGGACACAGAACCTGGCTGGAGATCCTAATCCAGACCAGAACTTAGCTGGAGATCCTAAGCAGAACCTCTCTGGAGATCCAGACCAGAACTTGGCTGGAGATCCTGGCTAGAGATCCTGGCTAGGCTGCTGATCAACTGAACGCTGTCTCCATGTCATTCCTTCTTCGCCGACTCCGTCCACGCCTTTGGGAACCCCTGGACCCGCTGGGGCTGGACCCCGGCAGTTGCGGGCACATCCCCAGTGGGAGGTGTGCAGGAGGCAGCTGATCGATGTTTCTCTCTCATCGATCTTTCCAGCTCTCTATCCCTCTCCCTTCCTCTGTAAAAAATCAATAAAATGTATTAAAAAAAAAAAAGAGTGACCTGAAGACCAAGCGTAGCAACGAATAAAGACCTGAGAATGGGCTCATCAGGAAGGCCAGACATTGAGTGGAGAGGAATGAAGAACAGAACTATGGGAAGAGGGAAATGACAGTGTAAGGACCAAGCTTGAAACATAAAACAGCTGCTACCTCATGGGGACAGACAGACATCACTATTCTTGCAAAGGTGACACTGGGAACCTGTCAAGCCTGAAGCTACACTGTAGTTCACTGACGACTTCCCAGAGCAGATCCTTCACCAGACCTGACACTCCCATCTGTCCTGATCCCAGAATTCCTATGCCTGTGTTTCCTAGAGGGTCCTCTGGGCAGAGTCCCAACACCCTAGGGTAAGACATGTGGCCACTTCCTCAATGGTCAGTAGTTTCTGAAAAAAAAAGTGAAATTGCCCCACTCAAGAATATGTCCCCTGAAGGAATCTCATTTTAAGACCAAGAGTGAAGGGCAGAATTTGTAACCATGTAGGAATAATACAAGGAAAAGTGGTATGCTTTGTGTCAATTAGAGACATTAAAATAAAAGAAAAAAGGAAAAGACAGCCAGGGGGATGACTGAAGAATGAGGGCACAGCACAGTCAGAACTTACCTAGGCATAGGAGTCAGGGACTCAAACTGGAGAATGTCATGAAAGACACAATCACAGGCCACCAGGGTCTTGGGCTGCTATCCGTAAAGGGCAGAGACCCAAGACCAGGCCAAGAAGGAAGGTTGTCAAACGGAGATGAGCTTGCTCTGTCGGTGTACTCAGTGGTTAGAGCATTGGGCCACTCACCAAAGGGTCTTGGGTTCACTTCCTGGTCAAGGGCACATACCTGAGTTGTAGGTACATTCCAGAGGCAACCAATTGGTGTGTCTCTCACATCAATGTTTCTCTCTATATATCCCCCTTCTACTCTCTCAAAAATCAATGGAAAAACATCCTCCGGTGGGGATTAACAAAACAAAATAAAAGAAAAAGAGGAGGTGAGCTTTCCTTGGTGCTCCTTCAGGGACAGGCCCTGCAATAATTTCCTCACCAAACCAGCTTGACACACTAGTTAAAAATCCTCATGTTTACTGGTTGTATAAGGCTTCAGGGCACTTTAAACTTCAATTTATGTTTTAGCTACCTTACATATGTCCGAGTGCAGAAAATTAAGGCAAATTACACAAAGATACACATGTATGCAAAAACTAGTCTTTTAGAGCCATGAGCAAATAACAAATGACTCCTGTAGATGGGACCCAAAGAGCATCGCAAACAGAACTAAACCCCCATCAGCATAAGAAGCAGATGTATGCATTATTACAAAAAAGCACAGAACATACACTCAATTTCTAACTACTAAAAAAGATTGGGAAAATAGTGTCCTTCCAGTCGGATGGTAGTGAGTTCATGCTCAGCTCCAAATACAAAGAGAGATAAAAAGTTAATCTAAAAGCTTATCTCTGCAGACGAAAGGACAAACCGCGCAACCGTGGCCACTTGACAACAGAGGACAGCGGGGGACCAAGTGCTCCACGAGGACGGGCCCCAGCTCACATGTGATCCTAGGAATAAGTCAAGATAAAGAACATGAAGCCGCTTCTAAATGTTGCCTTCCACTAGTTTATATCTTCCAAATAATAAAACATAGTGAGTTAACCAGACTATAACACCTTCCCCATTTACCCGGAATGCAAACCGAACTGGCACATCATCGAACAGAACCACCAGTAGTCCCGGATTCAGGAAGATTTGGCCGTCTGTGTCCTGTAAGCCACACGGACCTGACAGACCGCAAAGTGTGCGGGAGTTGGCGCAGCGCATACAGCGCGGACTGAACAAGGAGGGGACACCCACATCCGACGAACTGGAGTCCCGGGACACGGCGCCCCGCTCTTCCGTGCGACTGAGGCGAGGGATGGACACTAACCAGCCCCTCCCCACGCCAGCCCCGCGAGAAAGTGCGTCAGCGAACCCAATGAGCAGAAACTGCGAATGCCAACCAGCCTAACTGAAATGCAACCCCTGAAACCCGCCCCTCAAAAGCATAACCTAAACCTAACCTGGAAAAAGTACACTGACTATCCCAATCACGAGGAAGTGCTCTTATAAACCCCGTCTGAAGGAAATACATTCAAGAATCCGGTCCGGAGGAAGTGCTCACGTACCTTGGGTCCGGCGGAAGTGCATACAAAGAATCTGGCCCGACGGAAGTGTTCACGTAAATAGGGTCCGGCTAAGTGTCACATAAAGTAGGTCCGGCGGAAGTGCACTCAAGAATCCCGTCCGGCGGAAGTGTTCACGTAAACTCGGTCCGGAGGAAGTGCACCCAAGAATCCCGTCCGGCGGCCCGGCGGAAGTGTATCCAAGAATCCCGTCCGGCGGAAGTGCTCACGTAAACTAGGTCCGGAGGAAGTGCACCCAAGAATCCCGTCCGGCGGTCCGGCGGAAGTGTATCCAAGAATCCCGTCCGGCAGAATTGCTCACGTAAACTAGGTTCGGACTGCCAAACCGGTTTGGCTCAGTGGATAGAGCATCGGCCTGCGGACTGAAAGGTCCCAGGTTCGATTCCGGTCAAGGGCATGTACCTTGGTTGCAGGCACATCCCCAGTGGGGGGTGTGCAGGAGGCAGCTGGTCGATGTCTCTCTCTCATCGATATTCCTAACTCTCTGTCCCTCTCCCTTCCTCTCTGTAAAGAATCAATAAAATATATATTTAAAAAAAAAAAAAAAAAAAAGGTTCGGAGGAAGTGCACCCAAGATTCCGCACCGGCGGAAGTGTTCACGTATATTGGGTTCGGAGGAAGTGCATCCAAGAATCCGGTCCGGCGGAAGTGTTCACGTAAACTGGGTCCGGCGGAAGTTTACCCAAGAATTTAGTCCGGGGTTGGGGCGGGGGTAGTGCTCATGTATATTTTGCCCGGAGAAAATGCACTCATGAAACCGGTCCCCAAGAAGTGCTCGCCTAAATTGGGACCGGCCTCGGCCGGGCAGAAGTGGACCTGGGAATCTGCTTGGCCCTGCCCCTCACCTCCCTACTGGCCCTAGTCCCCGCATGCTGCCAATCGCAGGGAGGGCGGCGGGTCGGACATGCGCTGAGTGACTTGTGGCCTTTTCCGTGTGTATCTTTGCAGTTTGTTTATTTCAGCAGACAAAAGTAGTACGGAAAATAAGAAATTTAAGGAACTTAATCTACATCAACAACTGCAAGCGACATAATTTGCAGGCTTCATGCTGAAAGTGGGACCCCTTGTTTAAAAAGCAGGAAAACATCTTGTTAAAGGGATTAGGCCATAAAACCGTTTTTATCTTCCCACCCCACATACTGACTCTGAATTCGTCATGTTTTTGTTATTTAATGTCATTTGAAGTAAAGAAAAATTGAAACGATCACTATGAGTTTTCCTGTTCACCTTTATATTTTGCAATGCCAGTTTAAATGCAAATATAAGCACATGTAACTTGTATGTGGAAACACCAAAATTATAGACAATTCATATCTTGAGGCTCCCAAACCAGGGTAGGCAAAAGTAGGTTTACAGTTGTGCATATGCAAGTTTATTCTTGTATTAATTATTGTATTATTTGTATTAGAACTGTAAACCTACTTTTGCTTGCCCCATAAACTCAGTCAGTGGACATGCTGTAGAAATTGAACCCTAACTCGCTCTTTTTAAAAAAAATATATTTTTATTTGAGAGGAAGGGAGGAAAGATAGAAATTTCAATGACGAGACTCATTGATTGGCTGCCTCCTGCATGCCCCCCCACTGGGGACCGAGCCTGCAACCAAGGCATGTGCTCCGCAGGCTGACGCTCTATCCACTGAGCCAAACAGGCTAGGGTGAACCCTCACTCTTGACAGACACACATTCTGCCTGATGGGCAAAGACTGACAGGAAAGGGGATAGAGGCCTGCTCTCCTTCCCTTTCCTTCTGTGTTGTCATTTTCAGTAAGTGGTTACCTAATACAGGGAAGTAACACACATAAGAAAGAATATTGTAGGGCTCCTTGGTTGTTCCTGTTTCTTAGATGCTTCCACTTGCCAACCTTCTGACTTAGAAGCAAGTCCTGTCGCAGCAGAAAGTACAGTCTCACCTGGCTATCGGCACACAAGTGACTCAGATGCAGACATAACACGCTTACCGTGTGTGTGTAGAAGTGGGAAAATTTCCTTCTTCCCTTCTGGGTTCTTTAGCCTAATAATCAAATTCACAGAAGACAGATTGACAGGAGAAAAACAATTTTAATTTTGTACATACGAAAGCACCAACAAAGATAAGATCCAAAGGCAGTTGAGGCTTGTCTGTCACCCTGAGCTGAGGAATGAGGGGGGCGGATGGGGCCTGTGCTCCAGGGGAAGGTGATTCGCAGGAAGATAAGGGCAGATGCTTGGTTCTGAGGGTTTCCCTGTCCTACATAAAGGTCACTCAGGTAAAAGTTAACTCTCCTCATAGCTCTCTTTCTAGGACAGGCCCACAATAAAAATTTTGGATAGTTAAGGGAGTGGTTAAACTTTTTCCTGAGTCTGCTGGGTCTCGATTTCCTTCAGCTCAAAATAATTCACATGCCAAAGTGGCCCATTTTGGGGTGGCCTACTCTGCTCCCCTTCATATTCTGAGCCTCAGTGAACTCCCAAGACTCATGGGCCCACTGAAATCTGTGCTGATGGGGAACACAAATGCTCGATACAACAGGGGGGCAAAGAAACACAGAGATGTCCTCTGCTCAGGCACAGGGCCCACTCTCCTATTTAACTCACTCACAAAGCACAAGTTTAAAGATAAAATCAGGAGTCCTAGCTGGTGCTTCTCGGTGGTCACATCCACTTTCTAAAAACCTATGGGGAAAGATACCCTTGGGTGACCATTAATAAAAACAACCAAAAGATACAATGAAGAGTTTCCAGGCTGGACAACAGCACCAAGCCCAGCTCAGGACCTTCCGGGCACTCAGGGCTGTGGTGACAGCACAGCCACCACCTCTGAGGTGAGACCTGCACATGACTCACCGGGGACAGACGGGGAAGGCAGCTGTGCAGGTGCCTCAGACAAACAGGTGATACATGTTGGGAAAATCTCACCTGGAATTCGAATCGTATCAAGCACAGGGGAAACTACACTGTGGGAAAGCCTATAGTCAGCGCTCCCAGCTTTCAGGACACGAGAGAACCCAAGTCGGGAGAACGGTGTCACTGTAGTAAGTGTGAGAAAACCTAATTTTGTTGCTCCCCTGAAACTCCCCGCCAGAGTGAAGAATGCAGGAAAGCTTCTATCGAAGCACTGGCCTCGCCCAGCATCTGAGAATCCAAGGAGATCAACTCCACGCATGTGATGAGAGTGGGAGAGGTTCCAGGTGGCTCAACTCTGAGAAGGCACCGGACGGCCCGCACGGCTGCACGCTGTGGCAGTTTCACTAGGAATTCAGGAACAAGAAGATGCCATGGGGATGAGCAAGAGAAGCTTGAAGGTCTTGTCCTCTGGACATGGCAATTTTTCCAAGTCAAACCCTCGTATGGAGATGATCCTTTAGACAAACAGTCATAAACCTTCTCTGCAGCGGCCAGATGCCCTGGGGAAATGGCTTAACCGTTTCTCTAGATGAGCAGCTGAATCCTTCTTTTCACCTCATAATCTTGTAACTGTTGACAAGTTACTGAACTCCTTTTAACTCAAAATTTTCTCCAATGAAATAAGGATAATAGCCACTCTACTATTCACCAGGATATTACAGGATAAATGGGAACACGGGCAAGGCATTTAGAATAGACGCATTTCTGTGCTGGTTTAAAGTTTCAGAGGCCTTGTTGTTGGTACCGACTCCCTCTGCCCTCCTCACTTGTCCGTGGCCAGTCGAGAGGCCCCAGAACTGCAGTCTCTGTCCTCTCAGCCCAGGAAGGTGTCCACAAACACACAGCACACATGGCAGGAAGGTTCCCGTTACAGGACTGTATCTGTCGCCTCCAGATCTAGGTTCCCTCCCACTTGAACACATTGCTCACCTCTGACCCCACCTCTTGCCTCATTTCCTTCCACACCCCTCCTTCCTGTTGGAATCTCTGACTCCAGCCTCTTGCCTTGGGTGTACTTCCGGGCAGGACCTTGATGCAGATCACACCCTACCTGTCGGAGGGCCAGCACTGCCTAGTCCCCTTTCACACACCCTCCAGCTCTGTGCTCGGCAGCCTTCGTGTGCAGAACCACGACGTGGGGCTGAGGACGACTCTCTCCCGAGTCCTCCCCCCCCCCCCCCCTGTGATCAGGGTTATTTTCTAAGAAGGTCCTTTGTTGCCCTCTCTCCACCGCTGGGCTAACCTATTTATTTGCCTCCCCCAACTCTGCTCGATGTCTGGCTTGGCAGCCGAGCCTTTCAGAAAGCAGAGAGGTCAGACCACAGGCAGGACCGCACACTAGAGGACAGAGGGAGGAGAGACGCCGGCTGTCAGTCACTCACCCCACCAGGATTCACTTTGTCGTCAATGTTTCCCGCATTTTGCTATTTCCTTAGCATTCCCTGTGAACTTAAGTCCCTCACATGAATAGGCTTTCCCTCTTGTGAATTCTCCGATGTTGGCTGAGGTGCGAGCTCTGACTGAAGGCTCTCCCGCACTCGCTGCACGCATAGGGTTTCTCTCCAGTGTGGACTCTCAGGTGTCGAATGAGGTGTGAGCTCACCCTGAAGGTTTTCCCACATTCACTGCACACATAGGGTTTCTCTCTGGTGTGGATTCTCTGATGCAGGATGAGGTGTGAGTTCAGGCTGAAGGCTCTTCCACATTCTTTGCATTCAAAGGGTCTCTCCCCAGAGTGGACTCTCTGGTGTCTAATGAGATCTGATCTCCCGCCAAAGCCTTTGCCACACTCGTTGCACTCATAGGGTCTCTCTCCAGTGTGGGTTTTCTGGTGTCTGGTAAGCTTTGAGCTGTGCCTGAAAGCTTTCCCACACTCACTACATTGATGGGTTTTCTCTCCACTGAAAACTGCTGTCTGTTTAATAAGGTTTGAGTGCTTGAGAGATTTTCCACGTTGGGGAGTTTTTTCTCCAACATAAATTTTTTGATGCATAATAAAACCCGAATTCCACTGCAGACTTTGGTCATAGGTACTGTGTTTACAAGATCTATGGTGTGTAAATTCATTTGGGTTCAGGTTTATGCATCTGTCACATCCATTCTGACTTATTATTTCACGTGAAAGTATATTTTTGTGGGTGAGGATTTTGCTAAAACCTCCATCCTGAGCAGACGATGGTCTCCGAGACTCCCCAGGCCTGTTTTCCTGTTGCCGCTTTACCTGGCCCGCAGACCTGGAGACGTCCCAAGGCTGAGCAGACTCCTCTGATGCAAATGTCAGAGGTCGTCCTGACACAATTCTCTGTGAGCCTGTGTTTTCATGAACGTCAAGACTTGACAGAGACACGTTGTTTTCACTCTCATGACCTAAAATGACAATAATGACAGAAGAGGTTTGCTGAGCTGGAAGAAAATAAACTGTTCAGATACACCCAAGACAGTTACAAATTGGTACCTCATTTGGCCATTCCAAAAACATGGCCTTCCAAAAGAGAGGCATGAACCACACAGAAGAACAAATCAGTACAAGCTGGCCCTGTGCGCAGTGGTTGGCAGAGAGAGGAGACACCCACCAGGATGAGCAGATGAAACAGAAACGCCTGGGAAGAGGAGCTTCGCCAGCAAGAACAGGAGGGGAAGACAAAGTAGGAACAAAGAACTCCGAGTGGGACTGAGGGACCCAGGGGGCTCTGGATCTAGGATACACGTCTACGCTAAGGCTTAGAGGAAGAAGGGGAGGCACCATCTCCAAAGAAAGCAGATGAGGATGCAGATGCGTGAGAAAAGTAAAGTTGTAAATGACTCCGGAGTGTGCGTACACAGAGCTGAAAGCATCCGTCCGTCCATCCATCCATCCATCCATCCACTTCTGGTTGGCAAAGAAAAGGACCACCCACAGCTATTGGGACAGTCTAAGAAGGGAGAGCCCCGTCCCTCCGTCCACGGACACAGCTTTACCCAAGTTCAGTGGGAGAGAGGGTTCTGAAGAAGCCTGAAGGTCCTTGGTGTCCACTGGCGGGAGCTGGTCAGTAAATGCTGGTCCAGGAGATGCAACCTTCCTCCTGAATATTTCCTGTCCATGTCCAGGGACTGGAACCTGAGAACAAAGTACATCTGGACTTAGGAGAGAGTCCCTGTTAGAATCAAACATCTCCCCAAACAAAGAGAACCTCCTGTAGGAACACAAACTGGGGAAGGAAGAATCAAGTCTGACTCAGCAGTGAGATATGGCATAAACCAAACCGAGAGCAAAGGAGACATAAATGCATCCTGAACTGGGAGCTCAGCTCTCCCACTGTGGGACGCCCTCCGTTCTGGAGGCCGTAGCTCGCCCAGCATCCCTGTACCTGGAGCACTGCTTCGCCGCTGCCTCTCTCGGCTTCCAGCACTGCCACCACCTCCTCCCCGCTCTGCGGGCGCTGCTCTCGCACCAGGGCCTGCAGCTCCGCGGGCAGGATGCTCAGAAGCTGCTCCAGCACCAGCAGCTCCAGCATCTGCTCCTTGCTGTGCGTCTCGGGCTGCAGCCACAGCCCGCAGAGCTCACGGAGCCGGTGCAGTGCCTGGCGGGGCCCAGGAGCGTCATGGTAGCTGAAATGCCTGAACAGCTGCCGGCACAGCTCCTGCTTGAGAAAATCACTTCTCCCTGAGCCAGCGTCCTGCCCCCAGACAAAATCTTCCTCCACCTTCACTCTCGGAAGCCCCTCAGCCTCCTGAGGACTCTGAGCTGCAGCTTTCTTGAATTCTGTCATCATCTTGGGATAGAATGAATGATCACAAAACCCACTTCTGCCTTGTGACGGGTCTTTTAGTTTCAAGAGCTCTCCTGGAGAGTAAAAAAGAGTTACTATTATTGTCTAGAAAGACCACATTATGGAACTAGTCATTTTTTATTACACAAAGGGACACTGGGCGTTTACTCTGTGGAAATACTGAAACGCCTGCGTTGGGAATACAACTGCTACATAATTCCTACCTCGACGCAGTTTAACCTTCAAACTTACAAGCAAGACAATTGAGGGAGCATTTGAAATCCTGCCCCTGGCATATTCCGTAAGTTTGCCTCAAGTCAACGCATAAAACACACACACACCACCACTAAGGTGATTTAGATGAGAAGCATTTAAATATAAATACAACACAAGACTGAATGTTAACATGCCACATGCAATTAAATTATTTCTATGTGCCCTAGCCAGTTTGGCTCAGTGGACAGAGCATCAGCCTGCGGACTGAAGGATCCCAGGTTTGATTCCGGCCAACGGCACATGCCCAGGTTGCGGGCTCGATCCCCAGTAGGGGGTGTGCAGGAGACTCCAATCAATGATTCTCTCTCATCATTGATGTTTCTATCTCCCTCTCCCTTCCTCTCTGAGATCAATAAAGATATAATTTTTTAAAAATTATTTCTAAGTTATACAGACAATAATAGAAGAGCTTCAAAAAATTGCTTTTAAATGGCCAGTTCCACACAGGAAAATGTTCTGTGCTTCTCAATGGGTGACAAAGGACCACCTGCAGCTATTGGGGCCGTTTGAGAAGAGGGTCCCTGTCCCTGCCCTCCAGCGACATGACCTCACTGACGTCCAGGGGTAGAGGGGGTTCTGGGGTGTGAGAGGGCACAGGAGTCAGCAATGGTCAGGGAAAGCCACTGAAAACTAGCTTCTGAAGAATGGAGGGCACTTGAAGGGGATGTGGGAGACAGGAAATGACAAGCAACGGAGAGGCCGGCCAAGTGGTTAACAGCAGGGACACAGAGCTGGGAAAGCAAGTTGGACAGGTTTGTCCAAGGACATGACAGGAGCACAGGCCCTGCCCTGGAAGCCTCTGATGTCAGGTGCCTGGAGCAGACTTTCTCGGTCAGGCACTGGGCAGCCAGGAACAGCTCGTGGGAAGAATGGCCTCCCATCAGGTCCGTGTCTGCCTTCCTAGTTCCACAGTCTGTCCAGGTCTTGGACACTAAGTTCAACCATCTCACCAATAAAATAAAAGCCAGCAACATAACTTTCGTATCTGTCTTCTGTGAGTCTAGTGATTGAATGCCACTTCCTCTAGACCTGTGAGCACGCGGGCATGGGCCCTCTGGTTTCTGAACTGAAAACCGCAATGACAGGAAATCAGAGGTGCAGCCTGGAGGGCACAATAGTGAAATGCAAACACCAGTGTTTCAGGTCTGTCCACTGAACATTCCACCAATGTAGCTCCTGACTGTCCCGCTGACAAGCACTTTACTAACAACTAGAGGCACGGTGCACGAAATCTGTGCACGGGTAGGGTCCCTAGGCCTGGCCAGCAATCAGGGCCAACCTGTGGGGGGACGGGTGGGGCAATCAGGGCCCTCACTCGCCCCCCACCTCCAGTCGGGGCCTGAGGGCTGAGCTGCCCCTGGTAGTCAGTGAGAGCCATAGCGACCAGTCGGTCTGCCAGTTTGCACATTAGGGCTTTATTATGTAGGATGTTAACACCCCTGGAAGCACTGGGCTCCCAGAGAAGTCTGCGTTTAGAGCTGGGCGGCAGCCTGATTGCCACATGGGACTCTGTCACAACAGATTCCTGGGCCCGGCTCCGGGGCTCCGGGATGCTGACTTGGTTACTGTGAGGGGCACCTGGGAATCTGGATTCTGACGTGTGGCTATAAAGAATTGAAGGGAAGCGTTTGAGTTTGCAAGAAATTTGAAAATAGTTGAAGAGAAATAACATAAAACACCTGGATGTAAAGCACTTAAATAACATGAGACGCTGCGAGTGTTGAAAGCTTCAGTACTAAACACGCTGTACGATGGAGGCCCAATACCCTGATCCCGAGAGGCGGGGAGCGATGCCTGCCTGTGGACACGGGTCGCCACCATTTCCTGGGGGGGAGGGGTTCCACATCTGTTCGCTTATTGGATAAAAGTGGAAATGAGGGAAGCTTCCGATGCTTTGTGTTTTGAAAATCCTACATTTAAGATGATAATGACATACCCTTTGGAAAAACACTTCCACCCCATGTCACGAGATCGTCGTGGAGAGGAGGTAGGAATGGAAGGACGGCGACGAGACCACAGAGCGCGCGATGGAGACCAGCCCGGGCCAACCCCGAGCCCAGAGACGAGGTCCCGGCTCACAGAACCTGGGAAAGTCTGCGCGTCGGACCCGAGGACGGACATGGGAGGGGTCAGACCTGCGCGGCTGAGACCGGCCCGGCCTGGTCCCTGGACGAGGTGATGCTTCCGGGGCATCGTCACTCAGCGCGGGGGCCGAGGGCCCGGCTCGCCCTCCAGCTCCCCGGCCGAGCGGCGGCTGCACCCCCGGCATCTCCTGCGGAAAGGCCGCCGGTAGGTGTCTCCTCGCTTCGCACCGTGGGAAACAGCCCGCACTCCAGGCCCTCGGCCGCTTTTAAACGTCTCACTAGCTTCGGGCTCATAAACATCCCGCGCGACCCCGCGAAGCCCGCGTCCGGGAGAAACCGACGGGCAGAGCGACGTCGGGAGACGAGGGACCGACCGCCCGGGACGGAGGGGGCGGAGTCGGCGTGGCGCCGCGCAGCCCCGCCCTCGGGACTCGCTCACTCGCAGTAACTGCGAGAACATCCGACGCGAGGGCGGCGGCGACTCCTGCGGGAAGCGGGCGCCCGGGGCCGGCTGCGGGCGAAAGCCGCGGACCCGGAGCAGGCACCACCCCCGCGGTCTCCCCACGGCCGGGCCACTCCGCGCCCGGGAGCCCCCGGAACCCGCCGACTGCAGGACGGCCCGCCTCTCCTGGCCACGCCCTCGTCCCTCCGGAGACGCTAGCGCGCTGGTAACTATGGAAACCACATGCTCCCCTCCAAAGGGGCGGGTGCGAATGCCCTCTGGACGCCGAACCCAGTTCCCCCTTCCCTCGGGACCCTCCGAGTTCGGGAGGGAACATGCGGGGAGTGTGTATTTGCAGGAGACAAAGGGCCGGTCACCCGGATCCCCAAGCCCGGACTCACCTCTCCCACGGGACTGGTTCCGATCGGACACTTCCGGGGGAAGGACAGCGTCGCGCCACCTGTCCACGTTTCCGTCTACGGACACTTCTGAGTCTGCGCGGAAGACACGCCAGCTTTGGACTGCGATTCCCAGAAGCCTCCGGGTCTCCTCGGCGCTCGGACTCCATTTCCCAGGCATCTCGGCCCCGGTCCTGAAATCCTCGGAGCTTGAAAGAGGCGGAGTCTGCTCTCGGCTTGGCGGCGTCGTGGACGGGCGCTCCTGGCGCAGCCGCAGGGCCTCCGCCTCGGTCGGGCTGGGAAGTCCAACCCCACGTGGTGGACGCAGCGCGCACTTGACCTTTGCAAAGCCTTCCCGGGCTTTCCGGACCCTCCATCCATTCCCACCCCCTGCCTTTCCTTGTATTACTTTTGGCTTTACATTGTACCTTTTTGATCTGTCATTGCTTTGATAATGTGTCTTAGTGTTTATAGGTTTTCCACTTCAAATCCATCATTTTGCAAAGCAAATTCACCCTTTTGCAAAATCCTCAGTTACTTCAAATATTTTTTTTGCGAATTTCTCCGAAGATTACTGTGGAAATTGGATGAAGATAATTTGGAGGATGTGTGGTTGGTTTTGGACAATGTAAGCCTCCACAAACCCAGGAAGTACGGTGATCTCGTTGGTGAGACGAGGCATTCCCTGCTATTCCTGCCACCATATCTCCAATGATGAGGCCCACTGAAGGAGTTTTTTCAAAGGTTAAGTTCTGCGCGAGAAATATTTGGCAGATCCTTCAAACCATGACTGTTTAACAAATGTTATTAATCATTCGGTAGCGACCGTTACTCCAGAAGATTATCCTAATTTATAAATATGTATATGAAATTGCCACAAGCAGCGACAGGAGAACCATTATAAGGGACATTCTAAGTAAATAAGTATTTCTGACGTTAAAAAGTATTTTATATTTATTACTATACCAGTATACATGCAATAAAACATTTTAACAACTTTGCTTATGATTTATTTTTGTTACAAAGCTTTTGAAGTCATTTTAGTAGAAAAGTTTGCTTTGCAAAAGCATGAATTAGCTTTACGAAAGGATGAATTTGATTTGCAAAAGGCTGAATTTGAAGTGGAAAGCCTGTAGGTCAGCGGTTCTCAACCTGTGGGTCGCCAACCTGTGGGTCGCAACCCCTTTGGGGGTCGGATGACCCTTTCATAGGGGTTGCCTAAGACCATCAGAAGACACATATATAATTACATATTGTTTTTGTGACTAATCACTGTGCTTTCATTATGTTCAATTTGTAACAATGAAAATACATCCTGCATATCAGATATTTACATTACGATTCCTAACTAGCAAAATTAAAGTTATGAAGTAGCAACGAAAATAATTTTATGGTTGGGGGGTCACCACAACATGAGGAACTGTATTAAAGGGTCGAGGTATTGGGAAGGTTGAGAACCACTGCTGTAGAGGATGGAAGATCCAAAGATAATGATCTTTGACATACGAGAAAGGACTTGCTTATAGACTGGAGGGGAGGGAATGCTCCAGCAGTGAAATGAAAGTGCAGAAAAGAAACAAGGGAGGAGCTGAAAAGAAAAGTATTCAGTCCATGAGGGACGGTTCAGCAAGAGTTCATAGCAACAGAACGAGAGGATGTGAGCACAGAGGCTGGCGGTCAGGACTTGGAAGGCAGCTTGTTCTTTCTTTTCTTTCTTTAATACTAGAGGCCTGGTGCACAAAATTCATGCACTGGGGTGGGGAGTGTCCCTCAGCCCAGCCTGCACCCTCTCCAATCTGGGACTCCTCGAGGGATGTCTGAATGCCGGTTTGCCTAAATCTGGGACTGCTGGCTCCCAACCGCTCGCCTGCCTGCCTGCCTGCCTGCCTGATTGCCCCTAACTGCTTCTGCCTGCCAGCCTGATCACCCCCAAACCACTCCCCTGCCAGCCTGATCGACGCTTAACTGCTCTCCTGCTGGCCCAATCGTCCCCAATTGCCCTCCCCTGCAGGCCTGGTTGCCCCTAAATGCCCTCCCCTGTTTGCCTGGTTACCCCCAACTGCCCTCCCCTGCTGGCCCAGTCACCCCCAACTGCCCTCCCCTGCTGGCCCAGTCACCCCCAATTGCCCTCCCCTGCTGGCCTGGTTGCCCCAAACTGCCCTCCCCTATAAGCCTGGTCCCCCCCAACTGCCCTCCCCTGCTGGCCTGATCACCCACAACTGCGCTCCACTGCAGGCCATCTTGTGGCAGCCATCTTTGACCACATGGGGCCCGCTATCTTGTGCAAGGGCATGAGAGTCAATTTGCATATTACCTCTTTATTATATAGGCTATTTGTACTGATTTCAGAGAGGAAGGGAGAGGGAGACAGAAACGTCAATGATGAGAATCATTAATTGATTCCCTGCACATCCCCTACTTGGGATGGAGTCTCTAACCTGGGCATTTGCCCTGACCGGGAATTGAACCATGACCTCCTGATTCATAGGTTGACGCTCAGTCCCTGAGCCGCAGTGGCAGGGCAGGAGTTTGTTCTTTCTGATGCTTCTTTTCACTGTGAAATAAAAAGAAGGGATCACAATCTTTTTTCCCCCCTAGGAATAACAATCTTATTAACACTTCAAGTATTTTAAAGCAATGGAATATGCAAACTACTAAAAGTCTCAGAAGGATTTATTTAATTTCATGCTGCAATTTAATTTCTTTAATTAGGATAACTATTCACAGCCTATTTATCTTAGTATTTGTTTATCATGTTAACTGGAATATTCTATCCTGCTTTTCCTAATTCTCTCTTACTATCATTTTCTTTCTACACATTAAATAATATGGAATTTGTGAAAATGCACAGCAGGCTTTCGTGCACATCACAAGCACTCCCTAAGTGTTTTATGATTGCTTCCGTTTTCTCAGTAAATTGGGGCATAAAGTTTATCAGCTGAGAGTGAGAGTGAGCAAGGAGGTATTGGTGATCTTAGGAACTAGAAGAAGAGGTGAAATAGTTATTCATGAAAGTGGAAAGGGAAGGGTTAAGGAAGTATAATACAATAGCCTGGCAACACTAAGAGTTTACTTGAGGTATGTGGGCGTATATTTAAAATGAACCTGAGTTTTCTCCAGTCTTATTCAGCTGCATTGGGAGCGGTACAGGGTTGACAAGTTGTGATATTGCAAATGTTGCCTAAGGAGGAAAAGAAGGATAGGATTGAGGCGAGTAAGAAAAAGTGGTGAACTCAATGGGTGGGAGAGGTTGGATGGTGAAGAGTAAGTCAGCTGGAAAAATAAAAGTTGTTGCTTGACAGGGATGTTAGGAGTTGGGACTATGAAGAAGATTCAGGCGGTCAAGTCAGAAGTTTAGGCATCACCCATGAGTCAGTCCTTTTCCTCATTGTTCGCGTGGGATCAACACTCTGTGGGTTTATCCTCCTCGGTATCTCGATATTTTTAAATTTGTCTTTACTTTCCATTGCCATGGCTCCCCCAAGTCACTACAATGATTTCCTACTTTCTCTCTTAGCCTCAAGCCTGTTCCCCTCACATTGATTCCCACGTGCCAGTGAGAAGGCTGGCACAAAAGTGTAAGTCTGTTAATGGCACATCCCAGTTTAAACCAGAGCAGGGACTCACTTCTGCCCAAGCCCTCCACTGCGATCGTTGCAAAGTTTAAACTGTTCACAGGGCTCACAACTCCCTGCAAAATCACTCCAACCAATGCAAAACTTTCTTCACATTTTATGTCATTTGAGATTTATCCATTTAGGCATTTTCTGTACTGTAATATATACCTTTGTATGAACAGACCACAGGGCACTAATCAGGGCTCTTACTGATATCCATTTAGGTGCCTTCCAATTCTCTGCTATTACAGGTAAAGCGGACATAACATTCTGGTTATCTCTTGAGTATATGTGGGAGAGGGTTTCCATATGCATGAAATTTATCAGACACAGAGATGAGGAAAATAAGACTTGGGGGGGGGGGGCGGTTTACTAGCAGCCTGACTCTGTGCCTAGTTAACCAGTATCCCTAGTGCACATTCCTGTTAGCCTATAATCAAGTCACTGCCTCTTCCTTACTTATCTGGACTTGCAAGACCTATTTACCTAAATACTCACATTTTACAGAGGCCATGAACCATACACAACCCCTGGAGGGGTTATCAGCACAGGCTTTAAGGTGTGGTCTCAAATCCCCCATCCAAACACACGCGGCTTTTTGCAGAGCCTGCAAAAGGTCTGGAAGTCTGATCCATATTTGGGGGACAAAGAAACCAAGGGGTATAAAGAGAAAGCTTCCTCCATATTGGCTTGCTCAGGATTTGGAAACAGGCTCCCCTGAGTCATGGTATTAGTACATCTGGAAATAAATGGGTTTTTCCTGTATCTCTGGGTACTCCTGTGTATTTTTCAGTCTCCTGGTAAATTCTGCAGCAACAGTATATGTGAGTCTTCAATTTTAT